TTTGATTGAACATACCAGAAAAAATGCTGCAATGATCTGCCTAAAGGTGTCACTAAAGAACATCTCATCAGAAGAGGAATTTGTGCTGTTGTCTTGCTCATCCATTGTGAAAGGATTAAGTAGTACAGTAATGCTTTGAGCTTTGTAACGGTGAATACTGCTCAGGTGTACAGTTCGATTTCCTTCAGACATCTGGTTAGTCAGATGAGAATCTGTTGCCTTGGCCAAACATCACTGGAGATGTGTAAATCTGCTCTGTTGCCGACGGTTTCAACTTTCTCAGAGGATGTGTGAAGATGATCTTGCTTACACACCACCAGAGATTCGTAAATCTGTCTTGTTGGTCTCTGATGGTTTCAACTGTATTCACTCTATTCGCAAGGGCGGCTAACAGGTAAACCAAACACCACGTTTTGCCTGAGTCTCCTACGGAGAATGTAAATCCATCTCATGTATCCGTGGTTCGTGCCAGTTTTGTGCAAATCATCTGGCAAGTTGTTGGAGGTAAGCCTTTGTGTTGTACTTGGACGATACTGCTCCTTGGTGTGTTGTCAAGATGCAAAGTACATGTAAATGCTGTGCAGCTTACTCATAGCAGTCACTGCTTGTGGTGTTCAAATTAATTCGTAAATGTGGCTGACATAAAGGTCAAACATGCTTCTAAGACTGATGACACTCTGGCTGAGAACATGAATAATTTCTAGCCAGAGGGGAATTATGTCATGCATTAGTGGTCACTTCCATGACAAGTCTGCAATTAATTCTACAGCGGCAGACAATCATAAATAATATGTATTATGTACATTTTCAGTACTGCTTTGATGATAGAATCATTACTTCTGACACAGGGAAGCATCTCCAAAGTCATGCTTGACAGATGATGGTTATGGACTGGTCTGGGTTGAGTGAAGATGGTTACCTGCTGTGAACACTGAAAATAAGATTACTTAATTTTTCTTAGTTTGAAATGACGACGGGAAGACTGAAAATGGAGTACATGTAAATCAAATACAAAGTACGCTGTGTATAATTTCTGTGATTAGCACTCACCTTCTTTTATATATTGGCACCATTTTGTGCTTGCTGATAAAAATACGTCTTTTGAAAAAAACAGAGGAAACAAATGCAATTTTCTTGATTAAACTCCTTGAAGCTTGAGAAATTGAGAATATTTGTTCCAAACTGCTACATAAGAGACCTTGATCAGGGCATTCCACTTTATTCACTGGCGATAACATGACCGAGTTTTTTTATCATGACTTACCACTTTATTTTTCCTTCCTCGTACATATTTCTGCATTCTCTTCTCTGGGATGGGTGGCGGTCCTTCAAATGGGTCTTTCTTCTCCCTCGACTTCATGAAATCTCTCTTCCATTTCGGTTCCTGTTTGTCGTCCTCTGAGTGGGTTCCTTTTCTTCGAAATTTCCCTACGTGTTTCTTTGCTGGGTCTGGTTGAGTTGTAGCCTCTTCGACATTAGAGTCAAAATACCTGGCAGTTTTCTTAACATGCCTTTTCTGCATTTAGGAAAACAGGGAAAGGATACTTTCTTGTGGAGAGCCATTCAGGAAAAAAGTCCATAAACAACAGTTTAGACACGATGGTCCACATACCAGTAGTTACCATTAGCACTGGGTTGCTTGTGCCATATGCAGCAAGGTATGAGACAGAGAGAACCCCCCCTGCTTTGTGTTGGTCATTGTCTGGCAGGAACCTGGGGAATTCCTTTCAGACATCTTGGGGGATGTGTTAAGTAACAATAGTTTGGAATGTGTATAGGGATTGGACATGTTGGGGGGGTACCCCTCGGTCTCATTTCTTGCTGGGTATGGCTTGTACACACATTGTTCCAAATGGTCAGACCCTTTTTTCTTTGCACATGGTGGTTTGTATACTTGGTTTCTAGGATCTATACTCAAATTTTGTACACAGTCCAATAAGCCCATCACATTGAATGGTTGTATATATCCGTGTAGCCCAGGAAATACCTCCTTTTAGCTGGCGGAGCTAAATACATGTATATTCATACATTGTACCTTGAGTGGATCCTTTGCTTGGTGAATGTTTGGCAAATGAAATGACATTAATTTATTTTGTGTCTGAGCATAAATTAAAACATGTGGCATTTTTTCATTATACATTATTTTCATGCATATGCATAACCCATAGGAAGGTATGTCGCATAAATTTACATCTCTATGTGGGACATGCTGAAATACAATGGGCAAAAATCACACTCCCACCAAGTTCAAATGTTATCACTGAAGCATCGGTTAGAAAAGTATCTCTTCTATTCATTTTCAATTCATGTAAAAGCGCTGTAAGATTCTGTACTCAACTTCATCAGCCAAAAAAAAATTATATTTTCAAAATTAAAACACTGAAACAGCCAATGCTATTGGCCAACTGGCTTGGCCTTCCTGACCTCTGCCGCCTTCGTGACCTCTGCCGATCAGATACGTCATTTTGTTGGCTCTATTTGTTGATCTTCAGATTTTCCTGACAATCTCTGTTGACTGGAAACTCATTCATTTGCATGTGTACTATAATTACGGCATCTGCCCTAAGCGTATGCCCAAGGTTTTGGGGCTGGCTGGGCTGGCCATGGCAAGGCTTGCTGACTGCATACAGCATGCATGTGGGAGACTTACATGTACATGTACTCATGCTAAAAGTTGGTAGGAGGCAGAGTAGCACACGTTTTATTGGCATTTTCATGTTCTTCTTAAGCAGTGTTTAATTTGAGGGAGGGGGAGAAAATACAACCAAAACAAAAATTGGGAATTTTAAAACAATGCTTCTTTTAAAAAATCAATGACAATTTTAAGCAGGGGCTTCACAGGCAGTGCATATAAAGAGAAATCTCATTCCCTTAGGCTTTGCTCAATTGATCTAAAAAGTGGCAACTTGATTAGCCTTAGGCTGTTTTTAGGCCCAAAAAGGGGTCAACCGCCAGAAAGGCAATGTGCTGATATTCTGGCACTGCTGGCATGACTGGTCAATCATCAGCCCAGTGCTATTTTCTAGGTAATGTTACATTTGGCAATGAAACTGAATGACAATGACTAAAACGTACATTTTTGTTACCGCTCTCCGGTAGAACACGTTCTTCGATGGAAGTCGCCATATTGAATGTCAAAGGTCAAATTCTGTCATTTTAATTCATTGGTACTCGGCGACGCAGACGCACAATTTTTGTCTTCAGAGTCTCAAAAGGCAGTGATTACCAGCTAAACGTTTCGCGCGAAATTTGTGTAAAAAATTATCGCGTCCCAATTTCATGAATTTACTCCGCGGATTCAGTGAAAGACAATCTGCTCCAGAATCGGTAAAAGAGGGTAAATTATTTCACAGTTTATTGTATGAAATTGTATTTTATAATGTTAATGTGGAATGTTGCATTTGATGAGGGTAGAACTAGAAACGCGCTGTCGAATCAGAAAGAGGATATCAACCGGCATGACATGCATGATGCCTACCCCCAGAACTGTAGGAGAGGCGGAGCGGACCATGCCATGAGCATTATCGTCTGATTATGATTGGGCCCCTACTTCTGATGTGGTTGGCATTTGTGGAAGCACCAGAATTTAAGAATGATTAAAACTGGCATTATGACAATGGATATTGAACTGTGAATGTGATCGTCAGATTGTTTGTGTTCTCAAATTGTTTGCTAGGCCTATGAATGATCAAAATATTTTTAACATGTTTAATCGTCCATGTCTTCAGCCAAGTTCAATGATGATGGCCAAGCTAATCGAGGGAAGTACAACTGGATCAATCAGCATTGGCAGTGTGCATGACATCCACACTGATGTGGTTGAAATCCCATGTACCCCTGTCAATGTCAGGAAACGAAAGAGACGCTCTTATCAAGAGAGTCCAGATGGACCGACGGGTGAGAAAATCTTGAAAACCCCAGAATTACATTTTTATAAATTTCCCAAATCCATGTTTAGTTTACCATGATAACTGAAGGTTCAAGAACGGTGCAAAAACAAGTAGGCTTGTTTTCTACTGACATTTTAAAAAAATTTTCTTCAGGAGAGGTAAATGCAGAGATAAAAAAGCTACTGACCTATGTACCACAGGTTGACGAGATTTTCACCATCAGGAATAAAATTGGAGAAGGTAGGGACTATGAAAACATCGTCATTTCTTTAGTAAAAAATGTATATTGGAAAGAGTTTTGAAAAATGGATATCACTCAACACCCAGTGCACAAACCCTATGAGATTGATATGAAAAATTCTGTTTTCTCTCAGTTAATGCTCAGATATTTTCTCTGCTAAATTACACTTTCTAGGATATGTTTTTGCTTTCTGATCGCTGATAAACCACTGGAGGGGCTTTTTTCTGAACAGGATCTGGTGCTGTGAAGAATACATTTCAAGAAACTATGGTTGTCAGAAAAATTAAAGAAATCCTCTATCAACTATATCACCAACTGTACTACCTATTCACCACCATTTGAAATGAACAACAATTCTTTTTTTTTTTTTGGTACCAGGAACGTTCAGCTCAGTCTATCTGGCTGAGGTGAAATCTTGTGGACCAGATGTCAAACAGCAGTTTGCTTTGAAACACATTATTCCTACCAGTCACCCAGAGAGGATTTTGGGAGAGCTACAGTGTCTTCACCAAATTGGGTAAAGACACTTAAAAACGAAACACCAAACGTGAACACGCAAGTCTTGGCTGCTGAAGAGATTGGTCATGAACCAGAGTAAATCTGACAGCAAAATTTCTTTGCTTGGCTGCTGTCCACGGCAAAAAATTCTGAAAGCTCAAGTGTCCCGAAATTGTGGCTGAATATACAGATCGGTGAAACACTACCCGTTGTAGAAAAACTCAATAATAGACATGCAATTTTTCCCTTTTCTCACTTTTTATTGGTAATAGAAAAACTGAAGGAAATAGTTTTTGAAAAATTTTACCTGGAATTATTCTCTTTTGTTTGCCTATCCGCATCTTCCAATCACTTCCTGTGCACTGAGGCAAATTTGCAGACCCTTGGAAATAACAAATCAATCCATTTTGAGGGATGAAATATTTTGTTGTTAATTGCAGAGGTACTGAGAATGTAATGGGGATGAAGTTGAGTTATCGTGAGCGCGATCACGTTGTGATTGTCATGCCGTACTTTCCCCATGACAGCTTCCACGTAAGTCTCTCTTCCTTGGCAATTTGTAAAGTTTATTCTACTCTGTAAAGTGTATTTCATCATAAATAATTTCGTCAAAATTCCGCACTTATTTGCAGTTGTTCCTGAGGACAATGAAGATTTTTGAAATTCGCGAGTACATGCGGAATCTCTTCCTAGCTCTACGCAGAGTGCATCAGTTTAACGTCATCCACCGCGATGTCAAACCGAGTAACTTCTTGTGCAATCATCGACTTCAAAAGTGAGTAGGACATTTTATTTCTCATACTTCAAAAAGCTGTTTAATTGTAACTGTAGATGTAATACGGCCGTTTCACAATAGAGCGCCAACAAGAGTTTGCAACGTGTTGGCCAATCACAGTGCGCGAAATTGGTCGACCCAATGCGCGTTTGGAAAGGGTCGACAAATTTCGTGTGTTATGATTGGCCGTGTTGCAAACTCTCGGTGGCGCTCTATTGTGAATCGCCTGTACTGTACATGCTTCCCCCCAATATGCTGTATTTTCACCTTTATAGAATTAGCTATTTTGTGAATGATACCTTTATTGAGAAATTCATAGTTGCTGATAGTTTCACAAGAATTCTGAATTTCTAATCCTTCAAAATATGATTTCAAGGAATGAATAAACAAACTTCAGGTTTTCAGGATTCAAACCAATATCACACCAAAAAAACAGAAGAGGAAAGCACCACTGTGACACTTTGAGGCACAAGTACTCCCTGGATGTGCTGCAAATTTGTTTGAATAAACAATCTCTCGGGATCTCCAGGTACGCCCTCATAGATTTTGGCCTGGCTCAGAGGGTACCCACATCATCGAGGAAATCAAGAATCAAAGGTCATCCATCAACACTCTTCAGGTTGTCACCCAAGGTAACACAGAAAACTCAAAGGGCTTCGCAGGTGGCGTCTAAGCAGGTGAGTTAATCTTCTATTTGAAATTTTCCATCCATCAGTGTCTTTGGTTGTCTGAGGGTGATGCCTGATTTCAGACTTCTTCTTTTAAAAGTTTGGGCTAATTTCAGGCCTCAACAGGGTACAGGTATATTTCAGCTTTTGGCCTTGTTTTTAGTCTCTGAAAAAGAATTTGACTGGCATGACTGATGCGTAAAATTTGACAGAGTGCACTGAACTTGCAGGCAGAATCTATTCGCAAAAGTCATTGCACATTTTATGACGGAAATTTAAGTACAGTATTCTCTTTTATTTCAAGTTTTTCTCTCTGATTTCAGACATTGAAGGAGAACAGTAAAGAAGTGAGCAAGGAATCCATGCCACGATTAACTGAGCTGGATCCAAACACTTTCAACCGGACCCTACCTCAAAAAGCCAAAGGTGGACCCCTAGTCAAGACTTTCCAGCTTCCAAAGACATTCAACCAGCGAATAGCAATGCCTAAGAAGCCAGTTCCCACCCTCACAAGACCAGAGCGGCAGAAGCCAGCAGGGAGTGCCAGGCTAACCTCGGGCCGAGGCCCGGCCCACAAGACCTGCAGTTGCTTTGGGTTGCTGCAAGTCTGTGAAGTCTGTACGTCACGGAGTGGCCAGTCGGCACCCAGGGCTGGCACCCCTGGGTTCAGATCACCAGAAGTTCTGCTGAAATGTCCTGATCAGACGACAGGTTCGAGCCAAGAATGTAGCCACTGAACTTTCAAAAACTGCATTAATTCATGTGTAATGGGTATTACAAGCAACCATTTTCTTATGCAACACATCAACTTCTGATCTTGCTCACTTGAAGCTCTTTAAACTTGCTGTTATTTTTTGTAGCTGTTGACATGTGGGCAGCTGGTGTAATCTTTCTGTCTATCCTGAGTGGCCGGTACCCATTCTTCAAAGCACAGGACGACATGACGGCACTGGCTCAGATCATGAGTATAGTGGGCACCGAGGAAATGAAGACAGCTGCCAGGGAATATGGTGAGATGACCAAACATGTCTTGTGTTTGCCAACAGAAAGAAGAAGTGATAGACTAATAGAACCCTGAATTTAAAACAGGAGCTTTGGTTCTTCGTATCTCATGCAGCCTTCTTGGCTAAAACCA